GAAGAAACTGTCATTTTAAGCCTGAGATTTATCTCTCAGTCAGCTCCAGACATTAGGGGAAAGTTATAAAAACTGGAAGATGGCTCTCAAGCCCGTCAATGGGAACTTCTAAATCTTTAAGCCTTTAAGGTGTTTAATAATTGAGATGAAGAGGCTAAACAGAAAAGAATAGCAGAATTCCAAATGCTTGCCTCTGCCATCAGAGCCCCCGCTAATCTAAGGGGTCAGCAAACCCCCTTCAGGGGACAGAAGAAGGGTACCCACCAGGATCAGCAGAGCAGACCCCCAGGTCCCTGCTTTAAATGTAATCAGACTGGCCATTGGGTGAGACAATGCCCCAACCCCCAACCAATGCCTAAGCCATGTCCCCAATGTGGAGGACCCCACTGGAAGTCAGACAGGGGGCAGACTTTGCAGAGCCGGTCCTCATCCCTTCCTTGGGCTGGTGGATCAGGCAATCCAGGCCTTGATCTGATTGGCTTGGCAGCTGAAGACTGAAGGTGCCCAGGAATGAATGCCCTGACCATCATCTCGAACTCCAAACCCCGGGTAACTCTGATGGCAGTAGGTAGACCAATTTCATTTTTAATTGATACCAGGGCAACCTACTCTGCCCTCCCCAAGTTCAGAGGACCTCTTCGACACTTTGGGGTTTCAATTGTGGAAATGGATGGCCAAATATTGCAACCCAGGGCAACCAGACACTCACTTGTTCTTTTTTAGGTCCTTATATCTTTCTCCAGTCTTTTCTTGCATTACCAGCCTACCCTACTCCCTTGTTAGGGTGGGACGCTCTATCTAAACTCCATGCTACTTTAACCTTTACTCCTCTCCCCACCAACCACTCTCATTCTTTACTTTGTCTCCTCCAAGAATCTGCTTCCTCTCCTAACATAAACCCCAGTGCCCCTCTGTCTCCTCGAGGGGGCAGGGCAGGGTCGCTGGCCTTGCTGGCCTCTGTTGAAATACCACTACTCTTATCATGTTTTCACTGACGCAGTGAGGCGGAGGAGGGGGAGAAAGCCTCAAGGGGCTCTCACTTCTGGAGCCTGCCAGGCGTGACCCGCTCTGGGGACAGTGCCACGTGGGGACTTTGACTGGGGCGGTACACCTGTCAATCAATAATACAGGTGTCCTAAGGAAGCTCAGGGAGGACCTCCCCTGGAGCAGCAGGGCAAAAGCTCGCTTGATCTTGACTCTCAGTACGAATACAGACCGTGAAAGCGGGCACCATGTAGGATATCTCTCACTATAACCTTACGAGGGGTACCTGTAATCTAACTATTCATGATGTGTCTAACCCCTGCAGGGGGAGTTTGTATGTGCAAGCTCAGAGGGACTTGATGCAATAGCAAGAAAAATCATCCTAGGGACATTAGTCACTATCCAGGGTGTAGTGGCACTAGCCCTCAACTCCCTCTATCATGGTTTAATCATTCGAGCTTTACTATGAGTCTATCAAACACCTCCCTAGGCCCAAATATGACTGGGCTGCTTTGCCTACCAGCGAAAATGATGTTTTTATATGCACTAGACATTTCAGCCCCCAGGAGAGGAATTGCTATTCAGTGCCTAAACCCAAAAAAACAGGGTGGCTTATGGGCAGTAGGATATGTCACCCCAGCCAATACCGTAATCCATTCCTTTACCCCTAATTCAACCTCATCAAGCCCTGAACCCTAAAGCCATCATAGGGCAAAAAAGGGAATCAGACTCCTCATAGGAGGAGTCATAGCTGCAATTACCACTGCGGGCCTCGTGGGAGGAATTACTTATAATGCCATATCAACAAAAAACATAACCGCCAAAAAACATGGCAAATATAGGTATAGATACAGGTGAAAATTTCAAGTTTCTTTCAAAATCCCTAGATTCTCTTGCCTGCATGGTAATAGATAACCACATTGCATTAGATTATTTACTAGCTAAAGAAGGGGGCATATGCATGACAGCAAATACATCTTGTTGCTTCTATGTTAACTCAACTGGACAGGTCAAGGAGAGGACACAATGAATTCTGGATAATGCCCAGTGGCTAAAAGAATTCAGTCAGGATAACCTAGCCCAATCTATCTGGACAAGTATAGAAGCAGCCTTGCCTAAACTAACTTGGCTACTCCCTTTCATAGGGCCCCTAGTATTAGCCTTCTTATTATTGCTTTTCGGACCCTGCCTCTTGCACCCAATTACTAGGTTTGTACAAAATTGACTACAAATTTTAGTCAACCAGACAGTTGGACAATTTGTTCTAGCACAGGTAAAACAACCTTATCACCCCATTCCCCAAGAAGTTATCTAACAAAATATTCTTAGGAGCCCATGATGATTCCACACCTGCAGAAAGTAGACAAAGAGAAACTTATCCCCTTTTTCCCTTTTTTATCATCATTATAAGGTGGGAATAGAAGGGTTAGTAATGTTTTAAAGGGTAAAGGTAAAAGTTTGCAAAAGGTGGAAAGTGGAAATTGTGTTGCTTGTATGACCTTGGCTCAGCCTCTTGTTGAGTATGAATAAGGTTTATTTGGATTGTCCGAATAAGGTTTATTTGGATTGTCCACAAGGCAATGGATAACCCAGCAGATGCCTGACAAGATACCAGACCAGCCCTACTTTAAGGTGAAAAATGGGCCAGATAAAGTACATCAGCAGGAACTGTCAGAAGCTAAAAGTAGGATATATAACCAACACCCCAACCCTAATTCGAGGCTGAACCCTTCTTGGCTCAGCCCACCTGCACCCAGGCGTATGCAATAAAGCCATTTTGCTCTACATTGGCCTTGCGTTGTGGATGTGATCTCCCGTCTGCTCAGACCTTTTAGACACCACAGCTCAACTGTGGACAGCAGACCAATTCTCAACAGACTGAAGTCAGGGCCTGCTTTTTTTCTTTTTCATCGTACACTTTTTTTTTCTTTTTCACCCTACACCATCTAGCTTTTGCACATGCTATTCCCTCTTTTTTTCTTCACCCAACTTGTCCCCTCTGAGAAGACTTCTTTGATTATCCAAACTGTTGGTTTCCTTAACCCATTCTCAACATGGGGCTCATCTTCTGGCTGTGGTTAGTATCATAATTTTTTTACTCAACTTCCTGTGAACCTAGGAGCATGGACCCTGTCTCATTTGCCACTGCGTTTCCAACACAGGTGTGCAGCAGACCCTCGATACATACTTGTGAGCAACTAAGAGCTGTAGATTGTCCAACCAATAGAAATCAAGAGTCCTCAGAACTGGGTGCTGTGCCCATAGTGGGGGTGCCTAGGAGGAAGCAGAAGTCACCTTGCAGGAGACTTAGTTTGTCCCAGGATAAATCACTTGACTTGCAGCCTTCAGTTATGTCAATATGAAGTAACAGGCTCCCTGACCCCAGAAAGGTGTGACAAGTCTCTTTTTAATTTTTTTTAAACCTGGCTCTTGGCCAGTGCAAGATTAACTCGGTATTGCCTTTGGCACCACCACAACTCCCCACCCTGATAGTGAACAACAATAAATGTTCATGTTAAGCCCCTTCTCCTTGGTGACAAACACCATTCCAGACATTCTCCAGATATCACAACCATGGGAAAGACAGAAAACAAACATGTCAACAAATGGATAAAGCAAGTTGATATTATGATGGAAATAAAAGGGAGGGCGGGGGATGGAGCACCAACTACTCAGGAGGTCAGGGAGGTCTTTACTCAGGATGAGATATTTGGGCCAAGGCCTGAAGGAAGTGAAGGAGCTGGCCAAGGGAAAGGCTGGGTGAGGGCAGAAGGAACAGCACAGGTGAATTCCCTGAGGCAGGACAGTGGTTGGCAATTTGAAGGAAGAAGGTTGGGTGGCTGGAGCTGAGAGAATGAATGGTCAGAGGAGAGAGAAGAGGTGGGGAGGTGAGAGGTGGGGACCCTTGCTGGGCTCTAGAGCTGGAGAAGTTCACCGTCTGACCTAGATCCCAGCAGTGTCCCTGGGGGGGGGGGGGGGGGGACTCTGAGGTCAGGTCAGACTCTTGTGAACTGCCTCCCAAGTTCACACCCTGCTTCTCTGCACAGCCAGGCCAGGCCCAGTGTAACCATCCTCAGATTCCTAGGACAAATGATCCCCAAACCTGTTTAATGTAATAAAGTAATTAACATTGTAAGGGATTAGGGGAGGACAGCAATCCAGGAAGGGGCAGCAAGAAATCTGAGCTGCTCGCGGTTACATTTTGGACAAATTCAATTCCTGGTCTTTGTTGTTGTTTTTTTTATCCTCACCCAGGACACTTTTCGATATTTTGTTCAGATAGAGTGGGAGGGAGAAAGAGAGACACAACGTGAAAGGAACACATCGAGTGGCTGCCACCCACACGACCCAACCAGGGCCAGGGACAAACTGCATCTGAGGTACATGCCCTTAGCTGGAAGGGAACCCGGGTCTTTCCAGACCACAGGCCAACACTCTAACCGCTGAGCCAAACCGGCCAGGGCTAATTCCTGGTCTTTATGAGCCTGTTTCCCCACCTGGCCGGTGCAGTGTTAAGTTTTCTGTCCCTTTCTTCTGCCCCCTCCCTCCCCAGTTTCGCAAACGGGAGGCAGAGAATGTGGGCAAGGAGAGAGCTGAAAAAACGCAAAGAGACAGCGAAAGGCTCAAAACTATTCCTCCCCCGCGTACTCGGTCTACTGCCAGCGAGTGGACCATGGACTCTGGCGCACCCTGGCGGCTGGGCAACTCCCGGCTGAGGCCGACGGACCACCTGTGAAGTACAGGCTGCCATCTTTCTTCTGGGAAGCGGCCATCTTAGTAAAGGCAAGGTTCTAGATCGAATCTACCCGCTCCTCCTGGATCGCAAATATCTAATGTGAACACCAGGTGTGAGTTTCTATAAAATATGCTTCTCGAAGCAAAAAATAAGTGGATGATGACCTTGGCTTGGGCCAGAGACCTGGCCACTATTTCCTTTACTAAGATGGCGGCAACGTGTGCACGTATTCAGCGCGCGCCGTGGGGAGCTCAGCACGCAAGCTCCTCGGTGACGTCATGGAAGCGCGACCTGGCCGGCGCTGGGGGAAGGAGGTAGGAGCGGTCGCAGTGCGGGCGAAGCCGGGTTGCGGGATGCGGGGGCGGGGGGCCTGGGGGCCGGCGGGCGTCTGCGCCTGGGATGTTCCCCGGGGAGGGCTGGAGATGGGGTGCTCGGAGACCGGAGTACTTCCGGCGCCCAGTCTCGACGGCTTCCGCGGCGGTCTATGCCCATTTCCTACATCGCGCGACTGAGACCTAGAGGTGTGTTTCTAGGCCACCCAGTTCTGGTCCTGCTCTTGAGCAAATTCCAGACTTGGGGAAGACAGAGTTTCCACGGGCGCTCCCGGCTTCTTGCAGTGGGATCAGGGCTGGGGAGGGACGATGGGTTGGGGGAGCCGAGAAGGGAGAGCAGGAGGGCTTCTTGGAGGAGGAGGCGTTGAGCTTCATCTGTTCTCTCTTTCTTTCACATCCAAGCAACTGTGTGGGTCTTGACTCCCACCTAGGTGCACCCCCTTGCCCAGCCAGACCACTCCCCAGATCCCTGCTTGAGCTCCCTGCTTGTGTCTACTCCCCCTCAACACCCCCATGCCAGTTTACTTCCTCACCAACCCCAGAGATTTCAGACCCATAGATTTGTGTCTCCAGACTCTAACACCCTTTGCACCCTCCCCATCACCCTAGAGTACAAATCCCTCTTCCTAGCCTGCCTACCCACATTCCAGGAAGTCCTTTGAAACACATATCACCAGGCTCGGTGGAAGCCCCCTCCAGGCTTCCCCAGCACCCTGCAGGTCCCTATCACAGCTTTGATATGGAGTTGTCACTCTTATTGTTTATCTCCCAGTCAGCCTAGGAGTCCCATGTGGGCAGGAAGCACATGGCTCCACTTCTTTCTCCAGCGTCCTACACGTATTAGGTGCTTAGTGCATGTTTACTCGATGATGAAGTGAGTGACTGTTTACCAGAGAAGAAAAGCTGTTTTCTCAGGCTGCCATAACAAAATACCACAGACTGGGCAGCTTAAACAACAGACATTTATTTGCTCACGGTTCTGGAGGTGGGAAGTGCAAGATCAAGGTGCCAGTCAGTTCAGTTCCTGGTGCAGGCTCTTCCTGACCTGCAGACAGCCACCTTCTCATTGTGTACTCACATGATGGAGAGAGCAAGCTCTGGTGCCTTGCTCTTACAGGGTCACCAGTCCTATTAGATTAGGGCCCTACCCTGTGACCTCATTTAATCTTTATCACCTCTACATTGGTCCTGTCTCCAACACTGAGTGTTAGGGCTTCATATAGTAATTTTGGAGGAACATAAATATTTAGTTCTAGGTTCTCAGCCTGAAGAGCGGGTCAAAAAAGCCCTGTCAGGCCTTGGATTGAAGATTGAGGATGATGAAGCAGGGAGTGGGAGGAGGAGATGCTGGGGCAGAGTCCCTGTGAGTGGGCAGGGCTTTCACAGGAGGAGGAGATAGAGTAGGGTGTATCAAATGAGGGCATAGCAACAACAGAGGCTCAGAGGCTGAAGGGGGAGGTGAGTGGGAAGAACAGTGAGAAGCTGAGTTTGGACACAACACTGCATGAAGTAAATACTGGCGGAACCCTGGAAATCAACACTAGTTCATTGATTTGCTCAAAATGTGTATTGAGCCCTGGCTGGGTAGTTCATTCAGTTGATTAGAGCATCATCCCAATACCCTGAGGTGGGGTTGATCCACTAAGGGCACATACAAGAAGCAACCAATGAATGCATAGATAAGTGGAGCAACAACACTGTCTCTCTCAAATCAAGAAATAAAAATTAAAAATTAAATATATTGCCCTGGCTGGTTTTGCTTAGTGGTTAGAGCATTGGTCCATGGACCGAAGGGTTGCAAGTTTGATCCCTAGCCCTGGTCGGGGTCCTGCAGGAGGAAGCCAATCGATGTGTCTCTCTCATATCAATATTTCTCTCTCTCCCTCTCCTTCCCTTCTACTCAACCAAAAAAAAGGAAAAATATCGTCGGGTGAGGATTACTGCCCCCCAAAAGAAAATATTTATTGAGAGAAAAAAAATTATTGAGCAAATGAATGAGGGCACTGGGGACACAGCAGTGACCAAGGCAGTCCCAGCCCTACCCTTATGGAGCTTCCAGCCTGGTGAGGAAGATGGACATTTGTCAATCATATCCAGCCTGGTGAGGAAGATGGACATTTGTCAATCATATAAATGAACATGAAGCAATCCAGACAAGGAGCTCAAAGAGAAGTTTGAGGTCTGAGAGTTAAGAGTACCTCAGGGAAGGCTTCTTGGAGGTGGCAACACCTGAGTTGGGTCCTGAAGTTTAAATAGGAGTTAACTGGCTAAAAAGAGGAGCAAAGAACAGCCACATGGTGAGCATAGCAAGTGCAAAGGTCCTGAGGTAGGAACCTGCTTGATATGTTTGAAAAATAGCAAGGCCCTGGCCGGTTTGGCTCAGCGATTAGAGCGTTGGCCTGCGGTTCGGAGAGACCCAGGTTCGGTTCCCGCTAAGGGCACGTACTTCGGTTGCAGTTTGTCCCTGGCCCTGGTTGGTCCTGCGGGTGGCAGCCACTCGATGTGTCCCTTTCATGTCGATGTTTCTCTCTCTCTCTCTCTCTCTCTCTCTCTCTCTCTCTCCCCCTCTCCCTCTCTCTCCCTCCCACTCTATCTGTACAAAAATTGGAAAAATGTCCTCGGGTGAGGATAGATAAAAAAAAAAAAAAAAGAAAGAAAAATAGCAAGGAGGTTGGTATGGCAGCTGCTGAATGAGTGAGGGAGAAATGGAGGGAGTAGGGGGTAAGGAATTTACTCATCTGTAATTTGGACAGTAACCCCCACTTCTTTGTACTTTCCTGGGGAATCCAGGATGGGATTTCTGTTGTAGATGCTCTGTAATGAATGCTGGATTTAGTGTGGGGAGGGACTAGAATCACCCCCACATCTCAGATAAGGAAACTGAGGCTTGGAGGAAGCACATCAGTTACAATTGCAGAGCCCAGGACTCAACCCCGAGTCTTCTGGGTCCACTGATCCCCAGTCTGTCCTGTTCTTCCTTGGGGTTTGCCCCAGTGGCCTCAGAGTACTGATCTATGTTGATGTTCCCTAAGGGACCTGCTGGGACCCTAGGGTAGGGCAGTGGTTAACAGCATGGAGTTGGGACTGAGGGGCTGGGCCTGGGTTGGAATCTAGGCCCCTGCTCTAACCCCCTGTGTGGCCCTGAGCTTGTCACTTCTCAAAACCTCAGATTTCTCAAATGTAAATGGGGACCTGGCCAGGTACTTCAGCTTCCCTACTTTCGGATGGGAATAAGGACAGTACCCACATTTAAGGCTTTGGGGCATTTGTTCGACTTGGTCCATATAAAGTGCTTAGTGGAGGATGCCTTTGCCGATGCTGAGGATGAAATGGTTTAGAACACGCCTGCACCCAGCATTAGCTTCATCTGATTAAACCTTCAGCTCTGCCCTTTGCACCTTCATAATTCCCTCTGTGTTTGCTGCCATTCACATGATAGCCAGAGAGGGCTTTGGAACAACCTAATCAGAAGGTGTTTCTGCCCTGCTCAAAGTTGCCTTATAATTCCCTGGTGCCTGAACAGAGCCTCATTCTTGCCTCAAGACCTTTGTATGTGTCGTGCCCTTAACCCAGAATTCTTATCCCTTCATCCTCACAGGGCTGCCTTCAACCCATCCTTCAGGTCTCAGTTCAGCTGTCACCCACCAGGGTTATAAGAATTCACTAAGACGCTGCCTGTAAAGCACTTAGCCCAGTGCATACAACAGCTGCTAAAAGGATCTGATATTAGAATTTCTGAGGAGGGCTCAGAGATAGGAGCTCCCTCCCCCCACCAGTCACACAGTTGAGAGGTTGGAGTCAGGGGTTGCCTGGTGGTCCTGAGTCAGGATGGTCCTACATTCCCTCCCCTTTATTCTTGGATGCTGGACCCATTCCTCCAAGGTTCGGTGAGGGGTGAGAATGACTCAGGAGGGAGGTGAATCAGCCCATTTCCCAAATGAGGAAAACAGGCCCAGAAGGCACGTATGGAACAGCACTTGGTCTTCAGTCAGCACTTGGAGGTGGTGCTATTAATTTCTCAGCTGCATAGCCTTCCCTTCCTCACCTGAAAGGCAGACTTTGGAGGTGAAACTCCAGACTCAGCCCCATATGACTTGGCCAGGTACCTCAACTTTCTGCCTTAGAATGAGAATAAGAACAGTCCCCACATTTATGGCTTTGGGGCATTTGTTGAATTGGTCCATATAAAGTGTTTAGCGGAGTGTTGGGCACAGGGAAGTAGCTCCTGCCATTGGTATGTGTTGTCACTTCCCTAGTGCCCAGCATAGGACTCGAACAGACCAGGAACCCACTGGACAGCACCATCATGATTGTTACAACTCCTAGCTGTGTGAGCCTGGGCTAGGTTGTTGGTTGCAGTTCATGGCAGCTGCATACCCAGGGTGAGGAGATTGAGCCTTAGGCTATGGGACCCAGGAACTGAGGCCTTAAAGGTGTCAGAGTGGGAGGAGCCACACACAGACTGGCCTGCAGGGGTCCACAACAGGATGACTTATAAGAGCTAAGAAGTGGAGACAGCCCAGATGTTCATCAGTGGATAGATGGATAAACAAAATATCCATTTGGGGATATTGCTCAGCCATAAAAAGGAATGAAGCACTAACATATGATACAATGTGGATGACCTTGAAAACATCATGCGGAACGAAAGAAGCCAGATGCAAAAGGCCACATGTATGATCCCATCTATGTGAAATGTCCAGAGCAGGCAAATCCATAGAAATGGAAAACAGATTATTGGTTGCCAGGGGCTGGGGGTGGGGATTTGGGGTGATAGAAATGTTCTGGAACTAGGTAGAAGTGATGGTTGTACAACATTGTGAATGTATGAAATGCTACCGAATTGTACATTTTAAATGGTTCATTTTGTGTTATGTGCATTTCACCTCAATATATTTTTAAAAAGAAACCACTAAGTCTGAGCCCTTGTTTTATAGAAGAGGCCATTGAGACCCAAGGGGGTCCTGGTTGCCCAGAGTGACTCTAGGGGTGGCAGAGATGGATGCCCCCCTACTCATTGGTCCCCAACTTCCTCCCACAGCCTGCTGAGGGATGCCCAAGAAGTTCCAGGGCGAGAACACCAAGTCGGCAGCAGCCCGGGCACGAAAGGCCGAGGCCAAGGCGGCAGCTGATGCCCGGAAGCACAAGGAGCTGGAAGATGCCTACTGGAAGGATGAGGACAAACACGTCATGAGGAAGGAGCAGCGAAAGGTGGGAGGGCCGAAAGGGGGAAGGGCCCTGGGTTGCTACTCCCGTGACTGAGGCATGGTAGAAGGTGAAGGGAGGACTCTGGGGCTTTGGCCTGAAGGACAAGGAGGCCTAGCCCTGGAGCAAGGGCAGAGAGGGAGGCAGAAGCAACAGCTCATACAGAGGCCCTGGGGTGGCCCGGACGTGGTACGTTTGGGGAATAGCAAAGCAGCCACAGCCCTCCGTGGGCTTGTTTCTCTCCTTCATGTAATGCCAGGGTCAGGTTAAACTGGCAGTTCTCACTTGGAGGTGTGATTCTGCACCCAGGGAACACTTGGCAACATCTGGAAATATTTTTGGTTATCACAACTGGTTGGTGGAGGGTACTCCTGGCATCTGGTGGGTCAAGGCCAGTCATGCTGCTCATTACTCCGCAGTGCTCAGGACAGGCCCCTAGCAAAGAAGGAGCCAGCCCAGATATCAGCATGCCAATGCTGGGATACACTCCCACTTCTGACCTGCTGACCTGGGGCCTGCAAGATCTCCCAGGAGTTTATAAAAACACAGAAGAGGGCAGGAATGGCTGGCTGTCCCTGATGGGCCCCAGTGCCAAGCACACAAGGGGTGCTTAATTATTGTCTTGGAATGTTTGAGGGCTGTTACTGACCTGTTTGGCCCAATAGGTGGCACCAGAGACCTGAATAACAGACATCCTGGTTCCTGTGCTGATCAGACCTGCCCAGAGCCTTGGGGGCAGAGAACTGGGGTTTTCTGCATTGAAAAACTGATAAAGGTTGTGGAAAATAGCAGTGGTGATGCGCAGCCCCTGCACACACAGATCATGGCGTGCCTGGGCGCTTCTGAGAATTTTCCCATTGTCTTCTGTGCAGGACTGGATCCTGCCTTGTTGTTAGTGGACACTGAATGTCACTGGTTTCTTCCCCGTTGCCCTTGCCATGCTGAACTGGGTTTGTGGAGGTCTATAAACTTCCTTTTTGATTGTCAACATTTTGATAATAGGAAAATTGAAAACCCAAAAGGAAAATCAGTGCCCGCCAAAGATCCGTTATCCAGACAGAAAAGCCTTTTGACAGTCTGGGCTGTGAGAGCCCTCCCCAGGCCTTTGTTTTGGGCCTTGGGGTCATGTCTATCCTCCAGATGAGAAAACTGAGAGGACACAGAACACAGTGGTCCTGCCTGAGGTGCCTAAGCACAGAAATGAGAGCCCCCAGAAGCTATGCTCAAACACCCTTGACCTTTAAACATGCCCACACACACACTTGTGCCATGCAGGCAGGATGGAGGCTCAGTGGGTGTCCTCAGGCACATCGAACCCTCTCCTGGATCACAGTCTAGCCACAGGAGTGTCAAGGGGCATTGCACGCAGGGACCATCCCAGAAGCATGGGAGGCAGATGGGCAGAGTTGCAGGCAGTGGGTAGGCAGGGGTGCCCGCAGTGCAGAGCCCAGCCAGAGGCCATACTACACAAGTGAATGAGAGCCTCACTCTGTTCCCTGGAGCAGTGGAGGGAGGGGCAGTGGCCAAGGATAAGTTCTATAGGCCGGATATCTCCTCGTCCCACTGGCATCTGGGTCTACCTGGGGAGCCAAGGTGGGATCAGTCCCAGCCCCTGTGATGCTAGGCTGGGGACAGTGCCTCCTGCAAGGTCTCCTGACCCAAAAGGACAGAGCTCCTGCTCCAGCTGGCAAATGGATCCAGACCCTCTTTGGCTCCTGTCACTTTTGGAATCTAACACAAACTGCTCTCTATGCCCTTGAGGCTAAACTGTCTCTGCCCCCATTTCTTCTCTCTCCACACTTCCCATCTTCAACCACACCAGTCTCTATGCTTCTGTCATGCTAAGTGGTTCTTGCCTCAGAGCCTTTGTACCTGCCATTCCCACCACTCTCCTTTCCCTAGCTCTCCTCCTGGCAGACTCCTCTTCTGGCCCAGGGGTCACTTTTTCCTTCCAGATCCACCAACCCCCCTGTTTTGGCCAAGTGTCCTCATTGTTCCAGTCATATATGTTGGACCATCGTGCTCCCAGCCATGTCCCCTGCACACAGCACAGGGTCTAGCACACTGCAGGGCCTCAATCCATGTTGGTTGAAATGAAAACCTGGACCCTGTGGTGGTAGGGTGAGGTCTACTCCTGACTGCTCCATCACCCCAGGAGGAGAAGGAGAAGCGGCGCCTGGAGCAGCTGGAGCGCAAAAAGGAGACCCAGCGCTTGCTGGAGGAGGAGGACTCGAAGCTCAAGGGTGGCAAGGCCCCACGGGTGGCTGTTCCCAGCAAAGTCACCCGCGCCCAGATTGAGGAGACACTCCGCAGAGACCATCAGCACAAGGAAACACCAGAACCAGGTGGGGCAGGGGCCCCTCTGGAGCTGCCCTCTTACCCACTAAAGAACAAGCAGCAGACCTCCCATGGTCTAAACCCAGACCCCCCCTTCACTCTGGAGATGGTGCCTGGGCTCTGCATGGTGAAGGGTGGGTGAATGGTGGCCTGGTAGGCCTGCTCTGAGCACAGTCAGCACAGGGACACACTTGTGTTCTTGCTCTGCACGGACCGCAGCTTGTGCCTGCCCCGCCCCTGGTGTGTGGTGGTGGTGATGGGGTATTGCCTGAGGCTGAGGAGGCAGCAGTCACGTGTGAGTCTTCGTATGCCCAGCTCCAAGGAAGTTAAGAGGGCAGAGGTCTGGGCGCTGGGATGGTAGGATCACCCCATATATGGGTCCTGGGGGGGCTTCCCAGTTCAAGTAGTGTTTCTGCCATCATCCTCCTCTCACTTCTTCCCCCCACTGTGTCTCTCTCTGTCACCTGGCTGGCTGCCCATCCCCAGTAGAGAAAGCCAAGAGCCACCTGGAGGTGCCACTGGAGGAAAACGTGAACCGGCGCATGCTGGAAGAGGGCAGCGTGGAGGCGCGCACTATCGAGGACGCCATTGCGGTGCTCAGGTACTGGGACGACCTGAGCCTTTGGGGAGGGGCTTGAGCCTCTGGGGCGGGGCCTGGGCCTTGGCTGGCTTGAGGATTGAGCCAGGGCGGGGCTTGAGCTCCTCAGGTAGGGGTCACTCCCAGACCCCATTGAAGTCCAGTGTTGTCCTGCAGTGTGATGGAGGAGGCCGGAGACAGGCACCCGGAGCGCCGCATGCGGGCTGCTTTCACTGCCTTTGAGGAAGAGCAGCTGCCTCGGCTCAAGCAAGAGAACCCCAATATGCGGCTGTCGCAGCTGAAGCAGCTGCTCAAGAAGGAGTGGCAGCGCTCACCTGACAACCCCATGAACCAGCGGGCCGTGCCCTTCAACACCCCCAAGTGAACCCCGAACTGGGGGAGAAGCCCCACAAACTGGGGGAGTCGCCCCATGGGCGGTCAGGGTCGTGACCCTGCATGCCAGCTCATTCAGTCAATCAGCTCCCAGGGTTACAGAGGTCCGGGCCAGCGCATTTTCTGGGGGCTGATTGGCATCATCTGCCAGGCCTTCCACCAAGGGTACCTGCTCTGAGTGACACCCAACTTCCTCCTGTTGCAGTCCTGGGCTGAATGCCCAATAAAGGTGGTTGGTGAGGCAGAGTGTAAATTTGAAGTCTGGGTAGGGTGGGTGGTGGGGAGATGAAGACTGGAATGAGGAGGGATATGCTGTTCACAGCCAGAGACGATAAAGGCTCCCAGCAGCACTTCGGTTGCAGCAAGCTACCTGAGAGCTGTGTCCTGGTTCTTAGGGCTCTCTCCTGGCTGGGTCACTTGTCCAGTGAGAAACCTGTATCACCATTCTGGAGTCTTGATGAGGTCCTGCAAGGGCGCGCCTCAGAGAGCTTCAGGAGGCACTGGCTCCAGGTCACTTCAGGGGATGAGTGGAGAGAGGAGGCGAGTTGTTTGTGTCTTTAGAGTCTGGTTCAGTCATCGGCCAGGTCACATGCTATGCCTGGGGTCAGGAAATGCTGACTGCTCTGTTCCAACACAGGAGGAGGCATCCGGATTGAGTCCTGGGCAGGCTTCCCAGTGGAGGAGGGTTTCTTCAGATCTGGCCTTAGTGGGAGATCAGTCAGATTCCATCACAGAGGCAGGGCATGGGCAGGCAAAGCCCTGGAGGCTCCAGCAGATAGGTGGATCTAGACTGGGAAGGGCTTGCTGAGATCTGAACCTGGTTCCTGCTTCCAAGTGCTTAGTCACCCTTAGGGAGTCAGCAGAGAGGGAGGGCAGCTGGGAGATGGGCCCACATGTGTGGAGTGTAGTCTAAGCATTTATCATTGCTATGGCTCCCACTAAAGTGACACCCTCCCTGCACCTACAGGCTGCCCCTGAGTCTTCTTTTCCCCACTCTTAACCCCCATCTTAGTTCCAGCCCCTCCAACCTCCTTACTCTGAGCTCCAACACAGCAGGCTTGTTTCCCCTCTGGACCTATGCCTTGGTTCTTCCTGCCAAGAAGGCTGTTCTCTCAAATAGCAAGTCTCAGGTGCAGATCCTAACATATCCCCTATTGTGTGGAGTCAGGGCTGAGCCAAAGGGGGCCAAACTCTGCCCAGAGGTAGGGTGATAGAAGGCTTCATGGAGGGAGGGCTTTGAAGGATGCATGGGAGTTCACACACACAAGGGACAGAGAAGGCCAAAAGAGCTATTTGTGTAAAGTCCTGGAGATCACAACTCTTCTGTTCAAAGAAGGGGTGCCATTAATAATTGGGTAGAGCTGAAGTGCAGTGTGTAGGGTGCCTAAAACAATGGCAGCTGGCATAAAAACTAACCAACATAGCCCTGGCTTAGCGGTCAGAGCGTCAGCCTGCAGACCAGAGTCCAGGGTTTCGTTCCCACTAAGGGCACGTGCCTTGGTTGCAATTTGTCCCTAGCCTGGTTGGGGTTGTGTGGGTGGCAACCACTCGATGTGTCTCTCTCGCATCGATGTTTCTCTCCCTTCCTCTCTCCCTCCTGCTCTATCTGAAGATAAATGCAAAGAAAAGTGTCCTCGGGTGAGGATTAAAAAAAACAACCAACCAACATATAGTGAGCACTGGCTTAGTTGACCCCAGGAGTCAACCCTGAGACAAAGACTAGATGGAATGAAGGATTCAGGAAGGACCCTGTGGGGGTTAGGGAAGTAAGATTGAAGGAAGGAGCTCTGCAGGGGGTGCCTATTAAGAGTCCCCGCCAGTCCCTGCAGGTTTGGCTCAGGGGTTAGAGTGTTGGCCATGGACCAGAGAGGCCAGGGTTCAGTACCCGCTAAGGGCACTTACCTCGGTTGCAGTTTGTCCCCGGACCAGGTTGGGGTTATGTGGGTGGCAGCCACCCGATGTGTCTCTCTCACATCGATGTTTCTCTCTCTCTCTCTTTCCTCCTCCCACTCTATCTTAAGATAAATGCAAAAAAAAAAAAAAGCCCCACCAGGAAGTGAGGGGACTGGACCAGCTGTAAGAAGCATCCCCTGATGCTGGGCCCTGGTAATATCTCACTGAGCTCTGAGGACAGCCCAGTGAGATATTGGTCCCCTTTACATATGGGAAAACTAAGTCACCTGCCTGTGTCACATAGCAAGGCAGCACCCAGAGCTGTGAAGGAGCCAGCAAGGGTAGTGGTGGGGCCATTAGTCAGGGGTGAAGGTGTCTGCCAATAACCAGTTCAGGAGCCCAGATGGCTCCCCACAAATAGAGGCCTCTGCCTCTTACCTCTGGAGCCTTAGGCTAAAACCAGTATCTACCCCTGAGCTATCTCAAGAATCAACAAGATGGTCCCTGGGAAGGGTATATCTTTGTTTTTTTGGTTTTTTTTGTATGTGCTCCTAGCGGGAACCAAACCCTGAACTCTCTGGTCTGCCGGCGGAAGTTCCAACCGCTGAGCCATACCGGCCAGGGCTGCAGGGCCCATCATAAAGAAGGGCTTGGCAAGGGAGCCTCCTGCATGGCTAGGTTGGGGTCTCTGGGGCCTAGGGTGAGGGAAGTTAAGGGACTAATGGTGATTAACCGGAAGAAGGAAGCACGCCAGGCGGAGGAATGGAGCTTCACCCCAGGGTGATAGGGAACCCTGGCAATTGTGTGACTAGGGGAGGAAGACTATCAGAGTTCCGCGTGGCAAGCTCTGCTAGGGACCTGTAAGGGGACGGCCAGTGAAATGGAGAGTAATGATAAAATTCAGGACAGACATTTTACATCCAACAATAAAGATTTGAAAAAAAAAGAAAAAGTGAAAATAAAACATTCTCATCAAGAAAAAAAAAAAATTCAGGACAGGAGTTTGGAGGCCCGCCATCAGTCCTCCAACGAAAAGATGTTGGTAATAACATCTGTTCCCTTTCACAGAAGAGCCCCTTCTCTCTCCGACCCTGCCCCCACGAAATCCCCGGCTCGCACGTGCGCGCAGGCAAGAGGGAATCCCCGGCTTCGCCGCAGTGCGCGGGAGGGGCTGTGAGTCGGAAGTTCCGTGCGCATCCGTACCTCCCAGTGCGCGTATCCAAAACGACCGGGCGGGGCTGCGGGGCCGCGGAGTGCGCACTGCGCCCGCGCAGGTGGCTCTTTTCACGCATCAGGGCTTTCCCGTCGCGCGCGAGTGGCGGGAGGGAACGCCGCTTCCAACGCGCATGCGTCGATCCCCGCCCGTGGGCCAGGGAATCCTCGCCCGCCGCAGTGCGCACGGGGGCGGGGCGGGGAAACCAGCTTAAACCGGAGCGGGGTTCACCTAGGAGGTGGCGAGGAAAGGGAGCGAGAGAGGGGTCTTCCCTAGGTTCCCGCTCCGGCTCGCAGTCGCCTTGGTAACTTGGCGCGCACTGTGGAGGCGGTGGCGGCCTCGGGGAAGCCGGATGGCTCTGCGCCTGCGTGGAGTTCCGCGCCTGTGGCCGGGGTTTCCCTTCGTGCTCCCTGGGGATCCGCGGGGGAGGGTGTGGGGAGGAGTGGAGGGGTGGGCTCCGGAGAAGGTGGGGGTAAACGCGCAGGGTGGGGATGGTAGGGAGAGGGGTGTAGGAGGAGGAGGGGCTGGGGAGAGCGTAGGGGGAGGCGGACAACAAAGGAAGAGAGAGGGGAGGGGGACCTTGGGGAGCAGTTAAGGAAGAGGGAAATGTGAGGACAAAGAGAAGCCTATGAAGGTGGCATGGGGGGAGCGGTGTTGTGGGGATGACGAGAGGAGAGACTGGGACAAGCACCTTCTGGAGCCCTAGCCCTACCCCAGCAAACCCCAGAGATTCCGGCATAGGCTTTCCAGAAAAAATATATATAAGTATACAGGACGCCCAGTTAAGGAATATCATTTTGTTATTATAAGTAAGCCCTATTCCTTGCCCAATATTTTATCTGGCATCCCTAATCTTGGTCGGGCATACCCCCTTTCCTCTCCTTTCCCCACACTCCTGTCCCTTGAGCCTTTGTGAAAGCCATGGGGACTTCACAGATGATGTCTTTGTCTCACCTCCCTGGTTCCCTACAGCTCTACATGCCGGGTCCCACCCCCACCCCCACCCCAGTCCGTATGCTGTCTCCCATCCTCCTGGCCTGAGGTCGAGTCCTGACCAGGGAGCAAAGGCCTGTTACTAACAGACACCTTCAGGGGCTTTCTCTCTCCCCCAACCCAAACCTTCTGCTTTGGTCCTGGCTTTGCTGAGGTGGCCAGGTCCCAGCTCATCCTAACTGCTATCACCTCCTGGAACCTCCAGGTCTTCCTACTCTCTGTGACCCCCCACCTGCCAGCTTCACCTTCAGTCTCTGGTCACATAGCATATAGCAGTGCTTGAAAAACACTTGAGGGTAATTTTATGCATGCAATTAAGGGGAGAGTGTTTGACTTCTCAACAGGAACAGGTGTGTTTTCTGTCCCACAGGGGCAATACCCTCTCTGAGCTTTTGTACCTTCCAACAAAGTAAGTTTTCTTTTATCTTTCCCTTTGGTTTCAAAAGTGTAAGATAAGAAAACTTTATGGAAAAAATAATAATAATGGAAAAAGTCAGCCCCTAAGGACCCTGGACCCTGGGCTATCCCCAGTGCCTCCTCCCCATCCCCCATTCTCATCTTCAGTCATCATACTTATTTGCCACGGGAACACTTCAACAGTTGTTCCTCGGGCCTGGCTTTTGCTTAACAGTCTAAGAACTTGGTTCCTGTGGATCATTTTTTCCCATCAGCATGTTATTCTGGAAACAGGCTAAGTGGTTCCTAGGTTGAGAATGTGTGACTATTTTCAGTTTACTGTCCTAGGCAATGCCCCTGCAGAAGGACCTGGATCTCTTGCATGTCCTGGGGAAGCTTTCCAGGGTGGCTAGCTGGGTAGTACTGTCCCTTTATTTGGTGCTGTCCCTTCCTCATTAGCCAGGCCCAAGTTGCACTGGGCCCCACATTCCCCTTGGGGGGTGATGAATAAGTGAATAGACCACATCAGGGATTGAGGACAATAAACTAGGGAGATATGCCCAGAAAAGGGTCTACTCTAGACAGGAGGTGACATTGGACCAGGCTCTGAAAGACAAGAGGGGGTGAGGAGAACCAGGGAAGAGCAATTCTAGCAGAAGGAACAGATTCAAAGGTCCTGAGGCTGGGCTGGTTAGGATAGATGCTAGGCATGGCCAGAGCATGATGGATGGATGGTCCAGGGAGAC